CATTGAATGTCTGCCCCCTGGTGGTCAGTGTGCATCATAGCAACCGGTCATTCCGCTGTTTGGTCAATTTGCATATTAGGGTTTTATTATATAGGATTCCTGGTAATCATCACAATGGGATTGAAAGTGGGGAAACAAAGACTAAAGCTGTTTTTATTTTTCTATAAAGAAAGCAGGTGCATTCCCACATGGCTAAATGCACCTGAAAACCATCACACAGCCTGGCCGGTGTAGCTCAGCGGTTGAGCTTGATCTGTGAACCAGGAGGTCACGGTTTGATTCTCAGTTGGGGCACATGACCGGGTTTAGGGCTCGATCCCTGGTGGGGGTCATGCAGGAGGCAGCCAATCAATGATTCTCTCTCATCATTGATGTTTCTCTCTCTCCCGCTTACTTCCTCTCTCAGAAAATAATTAAAAATATATAGAAAGCTATAGCCGGGTTTCTCAGTGGTTAGAGCATCAGCCTGTGGACTGAAGGGTCTCAAGTTTGATTCTGCTAAAGGGCACATACCTTGGTTGCAGGCTCAATCCCTGGCCCTGGTTGGGGCAGTTTAGGAGGCAACCAATCAATGTGTCTCTCTCACCTCAATGTTTCTCTGTCTCTCCCCCTTCCTTCCACTCTTTCTAAAATCAAAGGAAAAAATATCCTTGGGTGAGGATGAACAACAATAACAAAAGGAAAACAGGCACACAGTAATGATTTTTGAAAGCTCCATCTATAGTGCTATGGACCCATTTTGCTATTATTAGGAAGACCAAAGGCTTGGCAGGAGAGCACCCCATGTGTCAGGAAGGCTTGAAGAATTGAACTTCTCCATGAGCTTGAATTAATTGCAATGAAAACTAGGGCAATTCAGCAGTTCTCAACCTGTGGATCGCGACCATCAGAAAACACATATAGCATATCAGATATTTACATTACAATTCATAATAGTAGCAAAATTACAGTTATGAAGTAGCAACAAAAATAATTTTATGGTTGGGGGTCACCACAACATGAGGAACTGTATTAAAGGGTCACGGCATTAGGAAGGTTGAGAACCACTGGTAACTGAACCATAAAGTACCCTTGACATCAAGGGACTAAGTAGCTTAAACATGTGCCTGTTTCATTCAAAATGCCAGCATGTGCATGGGTTTCTTTACCTTAAGGAATGAGAAATGAATGGAAGGAAAATTGCACCATGGATGGAAAGAATGTAAGAAAAATGGAAACATTTTCAGTACTTGGTAGGCTGAAAGTTAAAACCACACATATTATGGAATCTCATTTGGCTAAATGTCAACGATACGCAAGAGCTAGAATTTAGTAGTATAAAACTGTTCCAAGGAAAAAAAAGCAATTCACCAATAATGTGGGGAAAAATATATGGAGAGGAGAGATTGTACGACCCAGGAAATGTTATATGTGTAGTTGGAACTAATAAATTCTAGCAGGAAAGAGCAATAACACAGAAGAAAAGAGCAAATGAGCAAAATTTGTGTGTGAGAAAAGAAATGGGACATATTTTCTATCTCAGAAAATAATCGTAAACCAGAATTCTGCCTAAATTGAATGTTTTAATGACTAAGCTAGATTGCAAAATATTCTACCCCTGTTTAACCTATTATGATTTATTTTTAATTTAAGATCAACAGTCCTTGTGAAATATCCAACCCAGATGCTTGCTGACAAGCATTCTTCATCTTCAGTTTCATTTTTAAAGCTGGTTTAGGGCTTCTGGGTGTTTAAAAACACTTATCTGAGCTAGTTCCTGGGTCGGACAATGTGACAATTGTGAATTCATGTACTTCTGGAACTAGGCTCAGATATTTTGAATCGTTTTTGGTGGCTAGGATCCTTTATGCCATCGGGTTCAAGTGGTCTATTGACATTTTATTACCACAGCACCATACCTCGTGGAATTCCAAAGAAGTTTGGGGTGAGGTCCCAGTGAAAGAAAATATGCTGTAGGTGAATGTTTTAAGGGACTTGAAGGATCACTTTTTTTCCCAATGGCAAGTCAATCTTAGAGTAAGGGGTAGATAAAATAATATTTTACTACTTAAATTAGAATGTTAGTATAAAAAACTTCCCCTGGCCACTCTCTTCTCAGACATATACACATACTTTAAAATACTTTAGACAATTTAAAATACGGGGACAAGGACATTTTATTAATCAATCCTGCATACCACAGACTGCACAAATTTCCACTTATTTCATGTGATGGCTAGCTTTTATATTTTGATTATGAAATCCTATATAATAAAAGGCTAATATCCAAATAGACTGAACAGCGGAACAACTGAACAACTGAACAACCAATCACTATGACCTGTGCTGACCACCAGGGGGCGTGCACAGAACATGGCAGGCGTTGGCCACAGCAGGATGGTGGAGCAGGTGATCGGGGGTGCCAGACCAAGGCAGGGTGCCAGTCGCTGTCATTGGGGCGAGCCTCTAGTGGTTACTGAAAATTCTTTGCTCCTGTGTGCCAGGGTCCCGCCCTGCTCCAGCCCTGCTTGCACCCGCTGCCAGCACTGGAGCCGCTGCTTGCACATGCTGCTGGCCCCGATCGCTTGGCGCTGTCAGTGGGTGTGAGCAGTGGCTGCCATTCCCAATGCCCCTGAGGGCTTCTCCACCTTGCTCTGCTCCTGAGGGGTGATCAGGGCAGCAGCTGGCCCCAATAGTTCCAGATCGGGGCAGCAGCTGCCACTTGCACCTGCTGCTGGCGCCGGCTCCAATAGTTCCACGCTGTCAGCGGGTGCAAGTGGGGCTGGCACCATCAGCGCGTGGGTGCAGCGGGGGTGGGGCTGCGGGCAGACAGGGGACCAGGGGCCATGGTGGGAGGGGGCATGGAGGATGGGCTGAGACCTGTCCCTGTGCCCACCGCAGCCTCGTGGCCCACAGTTCCTTTCAAGGTGCACGAATTCGTGCACTGAGCCCATAGTAAAAATATAAAAGCTGGCGTCACACAAAATGTAAAAGCTAGAGGTTTCATGGGGTAATGTGAAACTCACTGGATTGGCGGTATGAAGACTTATATCCTCCCTCAGTCCTGCTCAGTCACAGTTTTGATCTTAACCTCTTTCAAGGTAAAATAATTAGGATTAAGTGATTTTTAAGGCTCTTTTCAACCCTAATGTTTGATAACTTATTTAAAGACAAATTTTGGTTTTGAAGATATTTGGCTTTTAGTGATTATGCTTTCTTAGACCACTGGAGTGTGGTTGTTGTTGATAAAATGTTACCTCTACATTGTTGGTTCCTATGTTATATTTACTAAAGGAATAGCTATTATGAGGGACTGCGATCATCTAGAAAATACAAGAGTTTTTGCTGATGATCTACTGTGCCTTTAAACTTCAAAAATCTGGCCTCCCCTACTGTTACTATCACCAGTCCTTATGTTAACTTGTCCTATTATTTCTTTCAGGTTCTAGTAGCTATTCCTATGGAAGTTATAGAGGTAAAGTTTGGAGTACTTTATTGTTCACTAAAATAAAAAACTATTTCTTAAAAATTGCCCCAATCCATTTTTACTATTTTAGAACTATTAAGTTGAAATGTATAACAGAGTTTGTGTTCTATACTATAGGATGGGTAATAGAGATTCAACAACAATACACAAAAATAGGCACAGTCATTGCTCTCAGTTCTATGAAGGAGAAGGCTTCCCTAAAGAAGTAAGGGCTGAGTGAAAACCTGAAGGATAAGTAAGTGTTAGCTGGGTGTGGAGGCCGGGGTAGGGGTCAGGGAATTATAGGAGGAAATGAAATGCAGTTGGAATTCCTGCTTGTAGTTTGGGGTTGACAGGCAATAGATAACTATGTTCCTTGTTCTGCCAGTGTTGGCTGAGTGGTAGGTAGTCTAGGAAGAGGAGCCTGAGCTATTTGGCTGCAAGGAGGACAGTGGAGGGATGACTGCGGCCCATCTCTATTAAGGAGGGAGCAAGCCTGCCCTGTTCCACTTACCCCCTCCTACCCCAGAGCGTGCTTGTGATGTGGAGGAAACACGTAAGGTCTTATGCAAGCTACGAAATAAAGGGGGGAGAGCTCTGATCTAGAAGTACGCTTAGCACTAGCCAAGCCCATGTGGGGAGCACTCAGGAGACCGTGGGGAGCACTCAAAGGCACTGCCATAACTCGCCCCAGTGTTAAGGATATTATCAATCATAGGTATAAGAAACACGTAAGGTCTTATGCAAGCTACGAAATAAAGGGAGAGCTCAGATCTAGAAGTACGCTTAGCACTAGCCAAGCCCATGTGGGGAGCACTCAAAAGCACTGCCATAACTCGCCCCAGTGTTAAGGATATTATCAATCATAGGTATAAGGAAGAACAGTAAAGCTGATGAGATCTGGAACATTGAAAGCTCCTCATCGTTCCCACTGGACTTGGGCCATTTCATCCCTCAAACTTCTCTCCCTTTGAACCAGAGCTGACGTATCTTCCTCTTGCTACTCCTGAGAGCTTCGTGTCAGTGGAAGGTACAGAAGGGAGAAGATCAAAGATGGAGCCTTGTTCTGAAATTGAGTTACGAACCTAAGTTCGCTTGATTGGACTGCACTTAGCACAAAACATCTAGAATGTTTAGACTAAACAGACAGGGGGTTTAGAGTTAATAAACTACAACAATTCTGAAAACAAAGCCCTATTTGTGTACTACTGAACTGTGAGGACTCTCTTATCTGTGAACTATAATGTCACATATCCTGGGGAGAAAAGAGAGTGAGGAGAATCTTTTATTATCATATATACTTCATTTTACTTTTCCCAAAGGAAACTGACTTAAATTTGTGGACAGCATGAGCTGAAATTCGGCCTTACCTTGTTCACAGTGGACTCCAGTGGTTCCCAGAGGACAGGAACAGATGTGCCCATGAGGCAACGAGACACAAGTTGACCCTTTGCCACAGTGGTGGGGAGGGTCATGTTCAGGGTCACAGGTGGAAACTGTCTCCGTGCAGAAGGCTCCTTTCCACCCAGTGGGGCAGTCACAGCTGTAGGTTGAGAAAGAAGACAGCACGATTTGAGCACTTGACAAATACAGAGCTAATGACTGCTTATGGGACTACTGCACTCCACATCAAGGATTTTAAAAGGTTCAGGGCACGGAAATGAAGAGAGAATTTTACAAGAATCATTTCTTTGGACAAAGCAGCATTGTTAAGTCCCTCTCTTCGCCCCAAGGAGGAAGACTGTGAATGGAGTTGCTGCCTAACCTTCAGCCTTGAGAAAAGAAATTCCCCTTGAGATGTGTTCTGTGCCATTGTTGACACCCAGGCCCAGGTCCTGGGGCTGCAGAAGGAACTGCAGACCCCTCCAGAGAGAGGCAAATGGTAGCAAATCCTAGGATGGGTTGTGGCCCTCTGGGAGAGGCTCAGCTTGGGGACATAGGAAAGGGATCTTGCCCAGAGGGTGTCTTCGTGGCTGAAGAGAACCTGGCAGTAAGAGGCAGTCACTTAATGACTAGAACAGGATCTGAGGGGTACCAGGGAGCACCCAGTGTGAAGAGAGACCTTGTCTGGGTTGAGAGAGTGATCTTGGGAGGAGCCCAGCAGGGGAGTCTCGGATGAACCCACTAAAGGTAGACTTGCCCGATAAAATGCAGGGCATCTAATGAAATTCAAGTGTCACATAAACAATGAATAAGTTTTATTATAAGTACGTCCCATATAATATTTGAGTTATATTTATATTAAAAATTATTGTTTATCTGCAATTCAAAATTATCTGAATGTTCTGTATTCCTCCTCTTACCCCCCTAAATCTGGTCACCTTATGCTAAGGGCACATAAGAGAAAGGGTTAGGTTTACTAATAAATCCCCATCAGGCCCAGAGAGCACTGAACTGTCAGGCAACAGTGTGAGTCAAGGAAGCGCCTTCCAGGATGTGGTGTGAGGCACAGACTGGGGAGAGAGCAGTAGCAGATCGCGCACACCTCCTTCAGAGGCCTTCCATTCATGCCACTGGCGGGGCTGGATTTAGTCTTGAAGACCGGAGTGCTGTTAGTATTTTGAAGTGGGCCCTTTGAGTCAGTGAAATGAGAGTGTATTTGTGAATTAAAGTGTCTATTAATGGAGTCAAAGCAGAAAATTCAACTGACTTCCCCTGTTCATTAACTTTCCTCTCACAATTTTGTATGTAATAGATGAATATTATTTCACCGAATGGATGAAATACACTTCATTTTTGTTGCCACTTTTGAGATATGTTTAAACATTTTCACATTCTACAAACAATAGTTTGATAAAAGTCTTGTAGCTAAATCTTTGTGCAACCCTGGGATAAATTCAAATACCATCATGACTTCTAGGCTTGGATATATATTCCAACCTGCCCTCCATAATAACTGTACCAATTGACATTCCCATCTCAGCGAATGAGAATGCTCCTGAAATAATAGGTGCATATATAATTGAAAATATGGAACATTTTTATAAGCTTCTTATTCTTTATAGACCCATTTATTAAAATAAAAATGATTCAGTGTCTACCTACACATATTTATCAAGAACATACTGATCTCAAATTCTTATGTTTTCTTTTTTATTTTATTTTATTTTTATGTTTTCTTTTAGTATTGGGCAGTTTAATCAAATTTATGCTTCACCAAAATTTTCCCTGCTCCTCCTCCTCCTCCTCATTATTACTTTAGTGTTTACTATGTGCATAGCGTGCACAGATGTGTAAGGTGTGAGTCTGCCAGCTGAGAGGAGGTGTGCTGGGGGAAAGCACCGCTGGGCAGCATAGGCTGAGGAGTCCAGTGAGTCGCACAGAGAATGCGGCCGGAATCCAGAAGCCAGCATGGGGAGGAACTCAGGATGAGAACATAACATCACACCACATGTTCACCAACGCACTGTTGGGCTGTGGCTCTAGGAGGGTTTGAAAACAAAGATTCTCTCTATCAGGAACTTACAAATAGAGGCACAGGCACATAGATACAATAAGCCTAGAAATCTTCCTTCATCGTGAGCCATACAAACATCCTATTTAAGGAAATGGCAATATCCTCAGACACGTCTGTCGGTTGCCATTTTGTGTATGTGTATGCAATAGTTGTGCGAAATACAAGTTTGAAAAGTTGTATAAGGTTTTCCAAAACGGAGAAAAACAAAATATAAAGTTAACCTGCTACAAAATTACATAATGATTTTGATTATTGTTTGACAATCAGAAGGCATAAATTATGTAAAGACATTTTATACAAAATAGACTGTCCTACCAATTTCATAAAATAAATAAAAACTAGTTTTAATTCTTATTAAATAATTTTTATAT